TTTTGTAGTTTTAATAATCAATTTATTTGTAATGAACACACTGAAGTGATTTTTACATTTGATTATTTGCTTTTCATGCTTTTGTTCCTATAGGTGTAAAATAAATGTAAAAAAAAAAGTATTGCACTATTTTCTTTCTTATATTTGTTCTGTTGTTGTTTTTTGCATCTATTCTTATTTTTAATAAACAAAGATCAAATAAAAATGGCTATATTGGGATTATTAATATAATAATTAATATTAAGAAAGGAAGTGGAGGAAACGATGCAACGTTGCTGGTGATTTTGCTTTGGAACCTTCAGAAAACTTGATTTTTCTCGGAACTGACTTTGCTGACTTCGTTGACTTCTAACAGGTGTAGCTCAGTCATTTTTCGTCCGATTCCAACCAATTATACATCATTTTGAAGGTCTTTCGAGAAGGTTGAGAATGTTAAAATAAAAATAACTCATTTTGCCAGCACCGGTCACATTCTATTAAAAACTCCAGGCAGACAGGTAAAGAACGGATGTCTTTATCCGTTTTTCCCATATCATCTAGGCCTACATCACTTTCTCTTGCTGCTACAGTCATATGTATTTATTTAGGCTTTAATAAATTTCCCTAAGAAATAGGCAAGAATGAGCCTGGTGTCCTCTATGATTCCTTTGTTATCTGACAACAAAGCACATGAATACGACAAACTCTACTTAAGAAGTGGGAAGTACAAATCTCTCAAAGCACGTGAGGGCAGCATTACTCTGCTAAATTCATGAGTGAATGTTATGCCAAAATTTTGCCTGTTCTGCTGCTTTCAGTCTCTCTCCTGGGACAATTGTCTTTTTTTTTTTTCAATTAAAGACAATCCATTTATTGAAAACAAGAGTTGATGAATTATCACCAGCAATGCATTATTGAATCATTATTACGTAAACATACATGACCGTTCAAAAGTTTGAGTGTCTGTAAGATTTTTTTATTTTATTTGAAAGACGTCTCTTCTGCATTTCTTTGGTCAAAAACACTGCAAAAATGGTAAAATTGTGAAATAGTATTACAATTTACAATTGTTCGTATGTGAATATCATATATGTTAAAATGTAATTTATTTCTATATTACAAAGCTGGAGTGTCTGTAAGATTTTTTTATTTTATTTGTCTCTTCTCTCTTCTGCATTTCTTTGGTCAAAAACACTGCAAAAATGGTAAAATTGTGAAATAGTATTACAATTTACAATTTTTCGTATGTGAATATCATATATGTTAAAATGTAATTTATTTCTATAATACAAAGCTGAATTTTCAGCATCATTACCTCAGTCTTCAGTGTCACATGATCCTTCAGAAATCATTCTAATATTCTGATTTGCTGCTCAATAAACATTTCTTATTATTATTATGAACAGAACTTATTATTATTAAAGTATTATCAATGTTTTGTGCTTCTTAATGCTTTTGGAAACAATGATACATTTGATGATTAGAAAATTGAAAAGAACAGCATTTTTTTTTAAGTAAAAATCTTTTGTAATATTATTAACGCCTATACTTTGACTTTTGATCAATTTAATGTGTCCTTGCTCAATAGAAATATTACTCAATAACTCGGACTGTCTTGATGTATGATAAACCTGGAACCAGTTCTAACTTACATCATTTACATAGAGAAGTCTTAACTATAAAATCAGAGAAAGGTAAAATGGTAATGTAAACTAAATTATGACAGTTTTGGCACAAGAAATCTTAATTATTTTCAGGGAGAACAAATAAACTCAACATCAGCACACACAACTCTGATAGGCCCGATTTACAAGGCAACAGGAAAAACGGTGTTGAGTCCAAACTCAAGGATGTTCTCTTTTGTCTTGAGAATGTGTCAGTGCATCTTAACCAGCGTGAGCGGCTGCCAGCAGCGGGTATGTTGAGGATTGTGCACAGATGGTTGAGCCTGTGTTTCCAAGCCAAATCCCTCAGTCTTACAAACAACTTTAATTGGCATTTTGTATTTACAACACAGGCATACTATAAGCTTCTGGGGTAAAGAGTTGGGGAAATAATTAAATAAAGGGAAAATAAGCTACATGTAGGTTGAGCTCAGTTGATCCCAGCTGCATATGCTGGTAATCACCGCTGCCTGCTGGATTTGCACACAGGCACGCAACAAACAGGCCGCTGATGTGTGTATCATCCACTGCTGCAGTGTATTCTCTGGACCAATGCATTACATATCAGGGTCTCAATGCAGAGATGTGCAAACCTGAGAGAAGTGTCCAAGAATGGAAACTCTAGATGCTTTTTCTGTAACAGATTGAGACTTTTACTTTGTTGAGTCTTTAAAGGGATAGTTCACCCAAAAATGAAAAATTTGATGTTTATCTGCTTACCCCCAGGGCATCCAAGATGTAGGTGACTTTGTTTCTTCAGTAGAACACATTTGATGATTTTTAACTCCAACCGTTGCAGTCTATCAGTCGTATAATGCATGTCAATGGTAACAAAATCTATGTAAGTAGTAGGGGTTGAATCTTAGTAAAAAAACATGCACAGACAAATCCAAATTAAACCCTGCGGCTCGTGATTGACACATTGATGTCCTAAGACACGAAACGATCGGTTTGTGCCAGAAACCGAACAGTATTTATATCATATTTTACCTCTAATACACCACTATGTCCAACTGTCTTTGAGCGCGCGCAGGCATCCGGTGTGTGAGGTGTGTACGCGCTCTGGCGTAGTTTACGCAAGCGCCG